ATATTGCCACTAGAGTAGAGCAGGTTAGCATTGACCCTTGAGACGGATGTGGGTACCAGACCACATTTTTTTCCCTGTTGTTTGTATACTGGAAGAGATCATTCTGTCCACGTACTTGCTGATGGTCTGGCTGATTATGAAGGCACAAACACAAGTGCATGGTTTAATAGTCTGTCTTAAGGGTCCTGTGTGACTCCTGTTCCGTTAATCACCATTCCCAGCATTTCTGAAATGTAAGCTAGCATTAACAGGGTCTAAATAGATTGACTAGAGAGAACGGTGGGTGTTTGAACTGAACAGCACTGGAAACAACTGAGGATGGCTAGCTGGCTGTTCCAGCTGTAGCTGCACTGAATTTTAGCTCACTGTTCAGGTCACAGTCACCCTGCGTGGCTCCACTGGGGTAACTGAGCATTATGTGTGAACATTGGACAATTAGCGATTTTAGCTGTCAGTCTGCAATTCCAGATGAAATCCCAACCAGCCAGTTGGTCCCTGAAATCACTTGCATATTCACCAGTTCACATTATAAAACTTTTCAGGTGCTGGTCAGCTCAATAGGCCTCACTTAAGGCAGCAATTTATTTGTGTACAAATGCTGTGGATCCATGGCTTGATGGAATATTGAATTGGAAACCAACCTATTGATTCCTCTTTGTAGTATTATCAATACTTGTTTTCCATTATATATAAAAGCCCTTGTTTTATATCAAAGAGCATAATGCTTGCGGTCAGTGTGGTTATCATGATGTCTTGCTCTATGATTCAAATGGTAAATACTAATGTCTGCTGATAATTTATTTTAAGGATTTCTTTCTTTATTTATCTTATGTTTATACTTGGGAAGCTGAAAACATCCACTTCTAAACATTACTTGCACTTCATTAGTTATATTTAGGGTCATTCCAGGTCTTGCCTATAGTGTTCATTTTTTAATTTTACCACAGGTTAGCACATAAAATATTCAACAAAATTCCAATAGTTCACTGTACTGGGTCTGGCTGGGATGGAGTTTTTTTCTTCACAGCAGCCCATAAATTCCGTGTTTTGGATTTGTGACTAAACTGGTGTTAATAACACACCAGTGCTTTTGCTATTGCTGAGCAGTGTTTGCACAGCATCCAGGTTCTCAGTTTCCCCCCACAAGAAGTAGGCTGAAGGTGAGCAAGAAGCTGGGAGGGAACATGTCTGGGAGAGCTGACCCCAACTGACCGAAGGATATCCCAGACCATACATGATGCTCAGCAATAAAAGCTCAGGGAAAGGAAGAAGGTGGGATGTTCGTGGTTATGGTGTTTTTCTCCCCAAGTAACAATTATGTGTGATGGAGCCCTGCTTTCCAGAAAGCAGATAAACACCTGCATGCCGATGGGAAAGAGTGAATGAATTCCTTATTTTGCTTTGTTTGTGCGTGCAGGTTTGTTTCACCTATTCAACTGTCTTTATTTTGACCCAAGAGTTTTTGGCTTTTGCTCTTGTGATTCTCTCCACTCCCACCAGCAGGCAATGAGTGAGTAACTGGGTGGGTGCATAGTTTCTGGCCATGGTGAACCCACAGGTTTCAGAGATTGTTAATAAATTTTGATTTCTAAGTTTCTAGTTTTAGTTTCTGACAGACGTCATGTGATAACTGACTACAGAATTATTACAAAATAGTGTTTTTACAAAATTTCAGAGTATCTAATCTTGTAAGATTAAAGTGACAAACTCAACATCCATATTTAGAAAAAGCTTTTAATCCTCAACATTTCAGAGTCAGAAAGAAACTCAAATCTCACCCTTTTTTTTTTAAACTGCCTGGTATTTTGTCATCCATGAGCCACCACTTTGAGTGCTCAGAGACGCCACCTGCCAGGCTGATATTCCTTTCTCCTCCAAGTTTGCTTACGCATTTAAGTGAACAACCCTGTTTGGTTTTAGACATCATCAATGTCACTTTACAATTCTGCAGAGAGCCTTGCATGTGAAAGAAGGATGAGAAATTCCCACTCTGGCCATTCGGCTGACACCAAGGAACGAGGTTTGCCAGTCTCCACGAAGGCCCATGCCTGTCAGTGGACAAAATAAACTTCCTCCATCGTCAGGTGTTGAGAGAATACCGAGGGCGAGCCCACCCTCCCCTGTGCGCCCCCCGGGAGAGACACGGCTGGGGCCCCGCTGACCCAGGGGATGCGCACACGGTTTTCCTCCTGGGCAAGGGTGGCTGAGGCACTGAAGAAGT